CCTCTTACAATACAACATTTCTTCATAAAAAAAATATATATATAACGTTAGTGAATTTTTTTAATGTAAAGTTTCCTGGAATCAATTAATTATATTATGTAATATTTTATGATCTTTGTGAAATATTGTAACTAGTATTTGAGATGTGTGAAAATTCGTGATGGAGGAAGGAGTGGTGGTGTCAGGGAAGGGGTGAAGGAGGTGATAGTGGTGTCAGGGAGGGAGTGGTGGTGTCAGGAAGGGTGAAGGAGGTGATAGTGGTGTCAGGGAAGTGGTGGTGTCAGGAAGGGTGAAGGAGGTGATAGTGATGTCAGGAGGGTGGTGGTGTCAGGGAAGGGGTGAAGGAGGTGATAGTGGTGTCAGGGAGGGAGTGGTGGTGTCAGGGAGGGAAGTGTGTGGCTCAAGGTGTCAGCTCGTCTCTTGCCTTGCCTCACTAGACACACAGACGCCACAAGCCAAATACCGCCACCGCCCACCTCACTCTTCCTAGGGGCGACGGCTGCTGCACTCACCATTGTCACACTCTCTTGACACCCACTCTTATGACACTGTTATGATTCACGCACTCTTATGACACTGGTATGGTATACACACACTATGACACTGGTATGATACACACACTCTTATGACACCCACTCTTATGCCACTGGTATGGTACACACACACACACTCTTATGACACTGGTATGATTCTTGTATGACATCCACTCGTATGTCACTTTTATGACACTCTTATGATTTGTATGACACTTAACACACTTGTATGGCAGTCTTATGACACTCTTATGAAACTTATGACGCTCGTATGACACTGGTATGACACTCTTATGACACTGGTATGACACTCACTCATCAGGTACACCACACGGGGAGTCATCAGGTGTAAACAATGACTGGTGAGACTAGAGGAAGGTTACCCCGTGGTCAAGGTTGCTGGAGGTGACTGCGTAGGAAAGGTTTTGTTCTGCTTAAACTTAACCTAACCTAAACTTCTCCTAACCTACCCTTAATCTAACTTAACCTTAATCTAACCTAACCTTATCTAAGCTAACATAACTAACTAAACCTAATCTAAACTAATCTAACCTATCCTATCCTAACCTTAACATACATACCTAATCTAATCTAACTTGACCTAACCTAACCCAAATTAACCTAACCTCTCCAGATCGCCTTAAGGTGGTTAATTATCAGATGAAATAATCTGACGTACTGACACTGATAATCTAGTTCTCTCTCTCTCTCTCTCTCTCTCTCTCTCTCTCATGGCGGATATTACATCATTCGTCATTTTACTTAAGAAGTATTATATAAAACAAATTAATATAATAAATGTAAATAAAGTAAATAAATAAAACTTGAGTGATGAACTATGACATCTGTTTTTGTTGTTATTTATTTAGTTCAGTTATCAAGGTTATCTGTACCGTTGTGCTTATTGGGCGTGACACTTCCACACACACACACACTAAGAGTCGTATCATCCAGTGAATCATTTGTTTTTGTAAGTCTTAATAGTCTTCATAATAAATAACATTCCTGGACCTTCCTTGTAAAATGCCAAAATCACTTACTAATTCATTTATAATCAAGTACGTCACACTGAGATAAAAAAAAACTGATTGAAAACGTTTATATATTCAGTTCACATTCTGTTTACATTCTAATATTTATTTATAAACGAAACACCTGGTGGTCTCACGATAACAAGATCTCTTAATATTTTTCCTTATAATTTAGGTGTAAAATATATATATTATTTTACTTAGGAGTTAAACATGACCTTAATTTAAGAGCAGTTTATGTTATTATTACTCAGGTGAAGAAAACAAGAAAAATGTGTTAAAAGTAGTAACGTGTTCTGTGATACAATGGAAGGTAAGAAATAGACCAGTGGTGTTGTTCCTGTGGAGTCGCCTGGCTTGGTGGAAACATTTACTACAGCTAGACCTAACAGTTATGTCGGATCACGTGAAGATTAGCCTCCCCCCCCCTAACTCCAAGCTATTTTATTGTGAGTGGGTTAGGTTAGATTGGGCTTGATTAGGTTAGGTTAGATCAGGTCAGGTTAGGATAGTTTAGGTTAACGTCAGGGTGTTTAATATTAAAGTGTAATAAATATGGGGTGCTAATCTTCACGTGTTTAAGTGTAATTATATATCTACACTCCTGCACGTCACAGCACGAGCAGCAATATACAACCATTAAAATAATACGTCAACAAATTGGTTTTTTTTTTTTTTTGTCCGATACCCTGACGGTATTCACACAGGACAATTACGTCATGCTTGTGGTTTTATATATAAGAACTGCAGTACACACATACATACATACACACACCTCTTAACTGCTTGGAGCCTGATTGAGGTCATTTATCTCTCAACTAGTTACTGAGAATATAAAATTGAAGCATTCATTTAGCTGCCACTGAACAAAGGACGAAATTAGTCACAGACCCCCCCTCCACCTGCTGATGAGAATGAGGTTACATTCTTTCCTGGTATTGTGCTTTAGTATGATGGTCTACGTTCAAAACAGCGCCAAATCTTCAGTTACTTCTATGGAGGTTATCGTACGTGACAACTATTTATTTATTTATCTATTTATTTATTCATTTATTTGTTAATAGCGAACGTTGAATTTGTCTAGGTCAGCTATTTTATTTATTTATTTGGGTATTAATGAGCTTTGGTTGTTTTTACTGATCCATCATTATCAAGCGTCAACAAAATTTTATGTATTACTCAAAACAACTTTTATATTAGATTATTTTTATCCATTTTAATAGCGATAAAATTTAAAAGATAGATAATGCTTTAAAATCTTCCTGTATAAAGATCACCCGAAGATTAACCTCCCAAACGCTAACCTAACCTAACCTTGACCTACTAAACATGAGGGAAAACAATGTCACTTCATCCGTACATCCTAGAAAAATATATCACTTAACGCCAACGTACAAAACACAAGGAAAACAATGTCACTCAGTATATCCTAGGAATTCGCTACGTGGCCCCCACAGTTGTTAGTTCGTGAGTGTAATATCGAGAAAATGAGACTAATTATTTTTCTCCATTTGACGTAAAAAATAATATATATATATAATATTATATATATATATAGATAATCAACGACCTCACCAGCCAGGACTCGAACCCTAGACCTTATGCATGTGACCAGGAGGCGCTACCGACCATGCCACAAGGACACTGGTGACGTCAATGATTATATGTTCAAGTCCGCGTGTTATATGGACTAAAATGAAGTATATATATATATATATATATATATATATATATATATATATATATATATATATATATATATATATATTATAAAGAATAGTTTACCCAAAGATTATATTTACATTGCAAGTTGTACATAATCGGGGTGTTGACGTCATAAACTAGTTCCCTGCTGTCAATTACATATCATAGCGAGGACATAGACAACTGGTGTGCAATAGCGAACGACAGATCTGATTGGTTGATCAAAACGTGTCGTGGCTGCTGATTGGTTGATTAAAACGTGTCGTGGCTGCTGATTGGTTAATGAAAACGTGGCATGGCTGTTATGGACCTCACAAAGATTATGTACACATTGCCTGAAAAATTGGATCACCTGAGGATTAGACACCCCAGCCTTTTTTCACCTGAAGATTAACCCCCGGGCAGGTAGCGTTAGGGTGTGTATAATCATCAAATAAAACTCCACAGAATGACTACACAATAAGTCATAACAGCAGCAACAAGGAGTAAGATAATGTTATACCTCTCCCGTTGTATATCAAACACAGGAAACACAGCTTTACATTACACAAAATATAATCAAATTTAAACTGTGATATGTAAAGTAGTGACTCATAACTCAGGTGAGGCGGCCACTTGACGGCTCAGGTGGAGAGTGTGTTGGCGAGAGGGACTGACTCATTCACTACACGAAGGAGAATTAAAATGAACTAATGGGATGGATTTTATTGACTTTACAGATGACGCGTTTACCAGAAGCACCATTTGCGTCATTTAAGTGTGCCCACAGAAAATATTAAAGTCTTATATAGTAGCTAATTATCCATGATGTAAAAGAAAGACAAGAATAAGTCCATGGGGGTCATTTTCAGCTGCAGTTGACATTGAAGTGTAAGCTAGCAAGGCAATATAATGCACGGCAACATCCTAGTATATTTTGTAATCTGTATAGGAAACAGATTCATTTAATTGTTGTTGTTTTGGTTGTATGTAGAGCAACATGGGGATGAGAGAGGAAGGTTTGTGGTTGAGGGAAGATATTAACAGTTTAGAATTTGTAGAAATGGAAAAGGGAGTAAAATAATTCAGGTTTAAATATACTGGACTGGTCTCATTTTTAAACAGCCGGTTAAGTTTGTGATTAATTTTCTCAAGTATATAAGTTCAAGTTCAAATAAATCTGTTAAGTCATTTTAACACACTCAAGGAAGCAACACACTTACTGTAGTCCCGGAAGTGAATAGATATCGTTGACTTCCTGTAGTGAGCGTGTGAGATAGTGTCGCCACCTACATCAGTAGCGTTAGGTTTGGTTAGGTTAGGTTAGGTTAGGGTAGTTTAGCTTAGGTTGATTTGGGTTAGGATAGTTTAGATTAGTTTAAGTTAGATTAGGTAAAATAGGTCAAGTTAGATTAGAGGGTAACTAAATACCGTCTCGAAGCAACAACAAAAAAGTTTGTCTCGTCAATATATCATTCTGGTTGCTGACTACTACTTTTGTACGCATGATTGATATAGTATGTGGTAATTGCAGACAGTTGTAATTGTTGTAAATTGTTGTTGCCGTTGTTGCATAATTGTTGTAGTTGCAGATTATTATTGTTGTTGCAGATCGTTGTAATTATTGCAGATTATTGTTGTCGTTGTTGCACATTGTTGTTGTCATTGTTGCAGATTGTTGTCATGATTTTTTTCGTAGATTCTCATGAGGTTTATTTGCACCGATTATTAATATTTTGTCTTCGTGTTTCAGGTAAAAGTCGAGGAGATTGGAGAGGAAGGCAACGTGTACTGCTCACAACCCGCGTCACACACTGACTCTCCCGTTCCTCCGAGAAGTGATTCCGGCTGTGAGGTGCATCCGGGCCCCTACACCCCCAGCCAGAGCCCGCTGTTGCCACGCCTCCATCCACACACCCACTCCCCCACCCACCTCTACTCTCCCACACAGTCACCGGGACCCAGCAGGCACGTCTCTGGGTTCTCCTCCCCCTACAGGTAAGTCATCAGCCCCGAGTATTATCCCTCACTCATCAGCCCAGAATCTCAAGTCACTCATCAGTCCACAACCTGAATCACTCAGCTCAAAACCTCAGTCACTCATTAGTTCAGAACTTGTCATTCAACACACGTATTCCAGAACATCATTCACTCATTATCTTTATCCAGAACCTTCCTTACTCATTTTACGTCATTTCGTAATAGGTGAGTTATCGTTCCATTACGTCCTTCACACCACACTCTTCAATAAATTATCACATCTCCTTGAAATAGAGTTAGAAGCATGTCGTACAGAGGCTTAAAGAATGACCAAGACCGCACAGGGAATTGTCTAAAGTGGTCACGTTAGTTTAAAAGTTGAGATGATAATGTTTTCGGAGCTAATGTGGGTGGGTGGGTTTGGTGGGTGGGTGGGTTGGTTGGTGGGTGAACGATGTGTGGGGTGGGTTGTTTGTCGCCCTTATTAGATTGAACAAAGACATAAAATTAAACAGTGCGCGAGTACCCCCTCCCCAGGTGTGTCTAATGAGATTATGTTACGAAATACCTTTATTTTCTCCCACCGTAAAACTCACCTTTTTAATGAACAGTAACAAAGTTCAGCCTTTTGTTTTGTAAGCTTCGGTATTATTATCATCATTAGCGCTTTACGGCTATTTTCATGTTGTCCTTTATGCACGGAACGGCGACATAAATGTTTAAATAATTTTACAGAAAACAGTAAAAGATGATCATACTGTACACATCCCTTTAACAAGTATTATATAGTAGATTCTTAAAGATTGTATTAAAAATAACAATGTTCTTAGTAAAGATTGTTTTCTACTTAACACTGCAATGCCACAGTCTTTTATAGCAAGTCTGATGAAAAATAGACGACTGTAGTTTATTACACAATAGGCTGAACTGAATGAACAAATTGAATGTTTTCAAAAAATATAATATACTCTCAGTAAAATAGGAATATATAAGCGAATTTTCCATTAAATTTGACCTTTGACCCCAACTTTAACCTATACTGTACCAGGGTCACAAGGGCTTTGATTTTCTGGGTGGATGCCAGATATCGTATAGCATCTCATACTTCTTATTTTATTTGAAATTTATATTCACATCTGGAGGTAAAGTGTTACACAATTACACTACGTGTCCTGTGTTCTCGTCAAGTAATCCCTACCGTCAAGGGGATAAAGCTGCCGTAAGCGTGACCACACCTTTGTTACCGCTCAACAGAACCATCATGTTGAAGTGAACGAGAATCCATTGAGTGTAAATCCTGCTGGCTGGTGATAGTAGGGCCACCCTTTGAGGCTGCCACACTGTGACCTCCATTATTGCCTGGTAGTTGTGTGCTGTAGAAGGCACAAACAGCAGTACTGTATAAGCCACCATGACGACAGCTGAGGAGCCCAAACGTCTCTTGAGTGAACTGGTGGTCTTTGACTTTGAGGTTGCCATAGAAACAAATTAAAAGGAACAACATGCCGGTGTCCTGTTTAATTATACCTTACATATGTACAAGTTTGTAAGACTTAATAGGCGTGCGTAGTTACGTTCACCTGAAGATTAAAAACCCCAACTGATTAATTATTCAACACCCTAACGCTACCTGGGAGGTTAGGTTAGATTAGGTTTTATTAGGTTAACGTTAGTTTGTTTGATAACCAGGTGAGATGAACTGAGATGCTTAATCATCAGGTGGTCCCGTAGTTATCAGTAGGAGGATAATACAAATGTGTTGTCGAATTTACTCCTTACCCGTGTTGATGTCTGTTGCCATGGTCGTCTTTAATGTTTCCATGGTCACCAACAAACTTTTAAAGGACAATGGGGGCGGGGTCAGATTAGGCCTACACTAATGCTTTTATCTTTAATATTTAATCGTGAAATGCCTAAGAATTTGTTGTGCAAAATTCACAATACTGTGCTGTATAAGTATTGATGGGACAAAAACTTCGTTCAGTCATGCACTAAACTTAGCCAATTCACTAACCAATGAGAGACTATACGCAATTAGTATAAACATGGCACGAGAGAGAGAGAGAGGGGCAGATTAGTGAGAGTGACAGGAACAGTAGGTTTTGACAGTAGACGGTAAACGTGCAAAAGATATAGTTAAGTAAAGCCAGCACAATATGAGAGGAAAACATGTCATACATTGGATATATACCTACAGTATACACGTACAGTAAATTTGATGAGAGAGTTTTTTAAGTTTTCATAGCTCACTGATAAGCAAATTAGTTTGTGATAGTAGTCCTGGGCCAGTACATACCTGTTGCTTATATGTATGGCAGCAGAGAACCAATTTACTCCTTCTCACACCTCCGCCATCAGTACTTGTCAAACATTACCTCCATAACTGGAATTTTCCCGATCATTCTCTGACACATCACAACTACACAAATGAACAAAATAAGCTACTTTTAACATTCATTCAATGACCAACAGAAAATGCAGTCAAAGAAAAAAAAATCGCACTTTTGTTCTGGAACTTCGAAACTTCACTATCACTTTACTCAAATGCTTCGTTATGAGTTATATTTTAATATCAATTTCGATTTCATTATGAGTTTCAGAACATAATGTTATGGGGGTATAATGAGACATTTTTCTTTGACTGTGGCACACCCTGACTGTGCCACACCCTGACTGTACCACACCCTCTCCGTCCAATAAATCCTAACACATTGTTTAACTTCCATACTACACAACTTTCTCTGTAAGATTATAATATAATTTTGTATGTCAAACTGTATAACTGCATAGTTTATAAACATGCTTATCCAATTAAAAAACAGGACGACAATTTTACTGAATTATTATTATTATTATTATTATTATTATTATTATTATTATTATTATTATTATTATTATTATTATTATTATTATTATTACTATTATTTTTATTATTATTATTATTATTATTATTATTATTATTATTGTTATTATTATGATTATTACTTTATTATTATTATTATTATTATTATTATTATTATTATTATTATTATCATTATCATTATCATTATCATCATCATCATCATCATCATCATTATTATTATTATTATTATTATTATTATTATTATTATTATTATTATTATTATTATTATTATTGTTTTGGTAGGTTGAGTAATTATTTGTGACTAAGGCAGGAACAGTGCTGAATAACAAATACTGTAGTTGGTTTTATGTCAAACTCTCTATACATTATTGTCTTTCAAATAAAATACTGTACACAAGTAGAATGAAATTAATACTCTATAGTTAAGGATATTCAATATACAGTAGTCTAGTTTATATAAAATAGACTATATTACAGTAATATTTCCCGGGAAGTTCTCTTGACTATTAATAAATACAGAGTACCTGTACACACTCATTGTTTGTTTTATTATTATTATTCCTTTTTATTTATTTTTGTAAAGTAAGAATGTTAGCGGCAAAATGGTAGTTCATATTTCACGCCCATTCACATCTGAATTTTGTTGTTAGCCATCAAAGGTATTTAGTAACACATTTTATTTAAAAGCATTGTCACATGTATTTTTACTTTGTTTTTATTTGTCATAAGCTTATTTGTTTTTGTTTTAATTTTCCAGCCATACACCGTCAACAGGCGTCAGTAGGAACAATAGTGATGCCTCCCAGTATGGCGGCTCCTATAACAGCTACTCCTCTGCTCCATCACCCATTTCCCCAACGCACTATTCCCCTTCACAGGTTAGTAGATTGGTTACATCATATATCTCAGCCACTGTCTGCATAATGTCATATATCTCAGCCACTGTCTTCACCATGTCATATATCTCAGCCACTGTCTTCACCATGTCATATATCTCAGCCACTGTCTTCATCATGTCATATATCTCAGCCACTGTCTTCACCATGTCATATATCTCAGGCACTGTCTTCATCATGTCATATATCTCAGGCACTGTCTTCATCATGTCAAATATCTCAGCCACTGTCTTCATCATGTCATATATCTCGGGCACTGTCTTCACCATGTCATATATCTCAGGCACTGTCTTCACCATGTCATATATCTCGGGCACTGCCTTCACCATGTCATATATCTCAGCCACTGTCTTCACCATGTCATATATCTCAGCCACTGTCTTCATCATGTCATATATCTCGGGCACTGTCTTCACCATGTCATATATCTCAGGCACTGTCTTCATCATGTCATATATCTCGGGCACTGTCTTCACCATGTCATATATCTCAGCCACTGTCTTCACCATGTCATATATCTCAGGCACTGTCTTCACCATGTCATATATCTCAGGCACTGTCTTCACCATGTCATATATCTCGGCACTGTCTTCACCATGTCATATATCTCGGCACTGTCTTCACCATGTCATATATCTCAGGCACTGTCTTCATCATGTCATATATCTCAGCCACTGTCTTCATCATGTCATATATCTCGGGCACTGCCACTGTCATATATCACTGTCTTCACCATGTCATATATCTCGGGCACTGTCTTCACCATGTCATATATCTCAGGCACTGTCTTCATCATGTCATATATCTCAGGCACTGTCTTCATCATGTCATATATCTCGGGCACTGTCTTCACCATGTCATATATCTCAGCCACTGTCTTCATCATGTCATATATCTCGGGCACTGTCTTCACCATGTCATATATCTCGGGCACTGTCTTCACCATGTCATATATCTCGGGCACTGTCTTCACCATGTCATATATCTCGGGCACTGTCTTCATCATGTCATATAGCTCAGCCACTTTTGTCTTAGGTACAGTAGCTAAAACAACTATCTGTGCATACTTTGTGGGAAACAATGAGACCATGGACGATAAATTTTGGTATATGAGGGTTGTCACTAGTCACGTAAAATTTTGGAGAATATCTTCCCCCCGCCTGCACTGATAGTTGTTTTAGCTACTGTACATTGTCATTGATAAACTGTCTCTCTATGTATCTTGCACCCACTTTATTCTCCTCTCTTTGAGGTAGAGATAAGTGTTGTGCCTCTATGTACAGTAGTGTGTACCATTATTTCCCACGTCCATTTCTGTTTAGTTATCAGGCCAGTGTTTCTATATGCAGATTCAGGGTTTTGTTCAAGGGGATCCTAAAATGTTCTTCCATATTAAATCCTGACACAAAAATGTCTAAACATTGGTGACTGTTTCTAGTGCTGTACTGGACATACAACACAAGGTAATGGATCTTACAATAATATAAAACTTCATGTTTACCATAACAATTAGTGGTGCAATACATGTTCACTACCACACTTGTACTACAGTTCGTTCAGAAGTTTGTTATACACCTGTGGTGAAAGGCACATAACCTGTTGCACCCTTTGTGGATGTCAGGTAACTATGCTGAACCTCACTCACCACAGGGAGAAATTGACAGCGGAACAATTTGATTTGAATGAAGACTCATCAAAAAGAGATGTGAAGGATATTAATATGAATATCAGCCAACATTAGTGGTTTGTGAGTGTTAGGCGTTAATTTTTGTTAGAATGAGAACTGATTGGCCGCTCTATTGGTAATATACTTTAGCTTTGGTCCTGATCATGTCTCCATAGAAGATCGAAGTTCATGGGTTGACTAGCCAAGCTTACAACTCAGCTTCATTCATATGTGTTTTTATCCTGTAATCATTGTTGGCTTCTTAATACTGTTTATTACTATGAAATTTGTTCTTATTTATTTATGAATTTGTCAAACAGTAACAGTAAATTTTCTAAACTAAATCTTCTTTTCTCTTGCAGTCACCTATCCAACAACGCCATATCAACTTCCCAATGCCGACTCACCAGTCACCTAACCTGAGTCGCGTCCCGCAGTATCCAGGAGCAGCTCCTGGGGTCCTCTATGGTGCACCTCTCGACTTGCGAGACACGCACAGCCTTGTGGGTCATCCTGACTCCTCCAAGGACCCAAAAGATGATGACCGGCTAACAGCAGATCTGGCACAACACTCTGTGATAGCAGCACAGTCTGGCATCACCAGACAACAACTCATCAACAGGTTGGTTCAACTCCACAACATCATCTCTTTCATTTATATCTGCCAAATCTGTATTTTCATAAAACATGTACAGTATGTGTAAATGAAGTGTATTTTTAGTAAGATAACTGTACAGTACTACTAAATATATATTCTGTATACTTACTAGAAAATAAAAGAGTATGGCAGAAATGTTATCTCACACACCATTACCTGTACAATACTTAGAATACTCAGTGAGGTAATAAAATAAAGCACCCCATTTTAGAGAAATGTAATTAGTATCACTGTATCACGAAAAGACTTATCACATATAGAGTCATTATAACTGTCTATGTTTTCATTAATAACATAAATTATGTACTGTAGGGTGTTCCAATAGAAAGAAATAATCTGTTTCATGGAGACATCACATATTACATGTACTTCCCTTGTCCTAGCAGCCCCTGTCCCATCTGTGGAGACAAAATCTCAGGCTTCCACTACGGCATCTTCTCCTGTGAGTCATGTAAAGGGTTCTTCAAGAGAACGGTGCAGAACAAGAAAAACTACGTGTGCATGCGGGGCGCTTCATGTCCGGTCACAACCATCACGCGGAAGAAATGTCCAGCCTGTAGATTTGACAAGTGCCTCCGTATGGGTATGAAACTAGAAGGTAAGGAGCAAACTATTAGAAGGTGAACATAGATATACTGTATGTGTGCTTCTTTAAATATACAGTTTAACTTTTTTATATACACATTAATTCTTATATTTACTGTATAGTTAACCTTTCATTCAACTTAGAAAGGACTGAAGTTAAACCTGTAGTTAACATTATCATTATTATTATTTAGATACAGGTATTCCCGGTTTATGAAAGGGTTTTGTCCCTGAAAAACCTTTTGTATATAGTTTTCTCATAAATTGAACCACATTTTCCCATAGATTCCCATTTAAAAGCTGAGATACATGACATTCCAATGAAGAAAAAAATTCGCCATACATTTTGAAATACTGTACCACAGACTACTAGAAACCATGTTTTTTAATTAAAGATTTTGGTGCCCATAATGATTATAAGCCAGTAAGAAACACTTGTTATTTTACAACTATACACTTTTATTGTTCATAATTATCATATGAAATTTAAGCATGTAGTCCAGAGTAACTTTCTTTTATTACATGAGATTAAATAAGGAGAGCTTTGGACAATCAGGCAACTGGCTGAGTGAGTGTGTATGGTGGTGTAAGTGATTAGCCTATTGGTTTTTAAGTGAGTGTGAGGAGTAAGTTACGTGGTTATTGTGGGAGAATTATGACACATTACAAGCTTATTTGTAGAGTTAATAACATTGTGAGTGTTGGAGAATACTGTAATAAATTAGTGATATGAGTAAGAATACTGGTAGCAAAAAATATAATTTTATTATGCAGTATTTTCATTAATACTGAGAAAAAATCACAGCTTGAGGGTTTTAGTTTGTAAATAGAAACCATAGATTCATGATGTTACTTTTTACTTCTATGCCACTGATCGGCTCGTTAGCCGCTTGGGCAGTCAGTCTGATCTCTGTTTTGCACTGTTGGCAACTACTGGGCATGAACTGGCTCCTGAACGTATCTGAACCTGCTCCAGTGTTGGTCAAGTCTGGTCTTGAAAGAGCTCACACTCAGTACTGTCACAACACACTGGCAGATTGTTCTAAAATTCACAATTATAACTCCAAAAAAGTTTGCCCTCACAGTTTTCTGAACTTGTAGCATCTTCAACCTTGAGCTGTTACCCTTTGTGGGGCGGGCATCCAACAGCTCCAGGTATGGACACTCGATTGATTAGTGCCCTCTGAGAGGTTCATACACTTCAAATAGGTCACCCTTTGCCCGTCTGTAGTATAAGCTAGGCAGTTATAGGCGTTCTAATCTTTCTGGATAACTGAGGTGCCGAAGTGCAGGCACCAATTTGGTGGCCCTCCTTTGGACGTTTTCAATCAACTGACAGTCTCTGGCATATCTCACGGACCAGACGGGTTAACAGTACTCCAGACAGTGAAGCACCTCACTCTTGAAGATCGTTATAAGAGATATATGAACGACCTTCTTATGAGACCTACTAGTTTAGTTCACTTTTTTCTCACAATGGCCCAAGAACTTCAGTTCATTGTCAACATACACACTCGGGTCCTTTTCACATTCGGTCTTGTTGAAAACAATGTGAAGTTGTGCTCCAGGAGGCTTAAGGGTGTCTTAAACTGCTTGTGTGGGTAATAGAAGTGCAGGATAACCATTTATGAGCTTCAAATTCCTCTATTTCTGTTTTCCTTTTGTATTAAAAACAGAGTTAATGTTGATGGAGAATAATAATCCACCAGGGAACAACACTCATGGAACTAAACTTTGTTCATTTTCCTTTCTTTATCCTCCTCACCACTGATCGGCTCTTTAGCCGCTTGGGTGATCGGTCACGTCTCTGATTAATTTTCCTTTTCTTTAATCCTGTCTATTTACAACCTACTCTACTTTTAAAAACGGTTTCTGAAATGTTTGGTCTGCATAATCTTACCATCAATTATATATATACAGTATGTATACGGTATGTATATAGATATGTATATATATATATATATATATATATATATATATATATATATATATATATATATATATATATATATATATATATATATATATATATATATATATATATATATATATATATATATATATATATATATATATATATATATATATATATATATATATATATATATATATATATATATATATATATATATATATATATATATATATATATATATATATATATATATATATATATATATATATATATATATATATATATATATATACACACACACACACACACACACACAGTACCGGGTATACATATATTTAACCAACTTACATTCTTCCGCTCAGTGCTTACCTATTCCACTTGTACAAGTGCTGCACCTTGCTTATCATTACCCCGGCTCTTAATGTTTCCTGAGCTAGTCCTTAAATAGATGAAATTTCAGCCCAATATCTTATATGCTAAATTTTCTTCAGCCATCCGTGAAGACCGGACACGTGGTGGGCGAAGTACATATCAGTGTGCGCCTTACCCTCTCCCACCTACGTTAGTGACGCCTACCACTTCTGCTCATCATTTTGACCCTCAGAGGCTTCCTGATGCCACAGCAGTAAAGGCTGAACCCTCTGATAGTGATGAAGTTAAACCCTCACCATCTGATGAGAATAGACCAGTACCTCTACTCTTGCAGGTAAGGCCTTACTGTTTGTGTGGGATTACTGTATGATGGTCAGTTGATCATTTCTGTATTTTCAGTGCACTTGATTGAAGGTTCAGGGAAAACATCTACTAAGTATAGTATTTTGAAGAACCTTCTTTGCCTATTCTGTTCCCCTTTCTCTTACTGTGTTTTCTCCTTAATGTATTGTTCCACCTTTCTCTCCCACAGTGTAGGCAGTCGCCCCTTACCCAATACACCTACAAAATTGACCCTATACATCTTCTTTACTATTCTCTTCTCCTATATTCTTCTCATGTGTCCATACTATCTCAGTGAACTTCTCTTATTTGTTCTGTCTCTTGACATTTACACTCTCCCAATAATTATGGATGTAAAGTGTACTGTTCACTATTTTAATGAATTTCCATAATATAGTGTGTGATGTATGAATAATAAGAACAACATACTGTATATACATTACTCATAAAATACCTAATTTCTCTCTTGAATTTTATTTCACCTTGCTGTTGCACGCATAAATAATTTTAGATATCAACAATTTCACATCTCTGTCAATCTCAAAACCTTAAAAATGTGACAGTACCTAGTGTATCAGTAACTTGAGATACACAGTGTTCTTGTTAATTTCTTCATTTAAAAAGGCTTAAATGTTTACTTTTTTTATTGCAGCAAATCCATGATGTAGAACACTTGTGGCACTGCAGTGAAAGTGAAATGGCAGAGTTACGACAGTCTGAGCAGGCGGCTCGCCAGGCCATGGAAAATAATTCACAAGACTTCTTGAACAACTTGTGCCACATTGCAGATCACCGACTGTATAAGATAGTCAAGTGGTGCAAATCTCTTCCACTTTTCAGACACATAACGGTAAGCTAGTCATACATGAAAAGTGTTATGGGTAATTCAGTACTGTACTGGTTACTTGTACTGTACCATACTTTGTAACATTTAAAGATCAAATCAAACTACTGTACTGTACTATATTGTATCTTTTAAAAGGGTTAAGTATCATTAAGTACATTAAAAGTCTGCTTATTGGGATTTATTGGAGGGAATGGGGATAGGGATTCTCAAAATTTCCAGTATTGATAGCAATTTTAAGCTTTAACATAAAGCTGTTCTGTGAATGTTTTTAGAAAATTATATCATTCATGTTTGATTAAACCATTAAAACAAATACAGTACATCAACATAGCATAGTACTATGCCTTTATTGAAATACCAAAACACCCAAATTTTACAGATCGATGACCAAATCTGTTTGCTGATCAACTCCTGGTGTGAGCTCCTACTCCTCTCTTGTTGCTTCCGTTCTATGGATTCCCCAGGTGAGATCAGAGTCAGCTCAGGTCGCACCATGACCTTACAACAGGCAGAAGTCATGGGTATAGGACCATGCATTGAGCGTATGCTCAATCTAACCTACCAGCTAAGCCGCCTTCAGGTCGACAAGTACGAGTATATGGCTATGAAGGTCATTGTCCTCCTGTCCTCAGGTGAGATCTCATATTGAACTTTATTTTTTTAACTCTTATTATCATATACAGTATGATTATTTATTTCCAAGGTAATAGACAGTTGAGCTACTTTGGTACAGTAGTTCTCTCGATCACTTGCGAAACTCTGTAACAGACACAAAATATACCTACCGGGTATATGACACTATGGCTCACACACCAGTCTCATTTCCATTTACCGTAATAGAGGATATTTAGGTAATATTTTACTAATTTCTTCAACCCATACTTATTCTGTAAACTTATCTCATACTCTTACCTTGCCAGATGTCTCGGGCTTGCGGGAAGTGGAGAAGGTGCGTGATTCCCAAAAGAAGGTAGTCCAAGCGCTGCAAGAGTATACACGCACTCACTACCCACACTTGCCACCCAAGTTCGGAGAACTTCTCCTCCGCATCCCCGAACTTCAACGCACATGTCAGGTGAGAAAAAGATTTTTCTCATTGTTTTATAGGTAAAAGGACTATTGCCTAAATCAAGCGAGGATATTCTTTCTCTTTTAGGTGAAAGTTAGTAGACCGTATGGAACAAGACTGCAACTTGGAGTTGCACAACCTCTCTCATCTCATCACTTTTTACCTCTGATGTCATTTCTCAGAACCTCTTCCCATGTAAGCCTTGGCATACTCCTAGCTACCCTCCTCTCCACATTCATATTCATGAATCTCTCTACCCAATTGGTCTCCTCCATTTTCTTCACATGGCCGAACCATCTCCGTTTATATCTACACAAAACCTTGCTAATACAGTACTGTACTGTACTGTACTGTACTCTTAATTTCCAGCTGTCCCTTTAACTCTGAACAGGGTTTCCTATCTCTGAATATCACATTACACATCCACTGCACCATACTCACTTCAGTTGGTCCAAGTCTACTTGTAGTAAGTCAATCTCTTTAACTGCCTGTTTGTCACTTTTGTACAGCAGCATGCATATTTTGCCATTTACTTACAGTACATCTTTTCACCCTGGGAAGAGAAGGTCCTCTTACCATTAATAAAGGCAACAGCTCCCTAAACTTCTTTCTGTCATTTCTGACTCTTGCTACTAAACTAACTTTAGCACCACCTTCAGCATTGATCATGTCACCCAGGTAGCAGAATTCATTGATGCAGTCCAGTGTTACATCTGTAAAGTCAAGCTTTCCCAGCTTTCCTAAGACCACATGATTACCTGCACATATAGTACACTTAAAGTCAGTAACATCTTGCTATACAGTATACCATTTACAACACTACACATTTTGTGTTCTCCATATTCACTGCACATCATTGAATTACTGAAACATCACATGAATATTTTCTACTTTTTCACCTTACAGTAGATCCTTTATCCATGCCAATAATCATAACTTTTGCTTTTGCCATATTCGCTGTCATACCCTTTGACTTCATTCATTTCTTACTTCTCTTAAATTTGTCCACTACATCTTCAATACTGTTTACTATCAACACTAACTCATCTGTATACAACAACTCACAGGGTAAACTAGTGTCTCTACCACCACCGTAAACAGAAAGCAGCTTACCTCACCTCAAATTCCTTGCCATTTCTTCTCACAAGGGTTCTCTAGCCCTCATATAATACCATAGTCACTTGCACAAGACTTTTATATTGTACACTGCACTTCCCATGGTACTGTGTCAAATGCCCTCTCTAAGTCTACAAATACAAAATAGTGCAGCTTTCTTTCCTTCCTTAGATATTTCTCTTGTAGTTGCTTGACCATCAATATTTCCTCTGTTGTCTCATCCCCTTCCTTGCATGGCTCCATTTCATTAATGTCCACTTTCTCCCTCATCAATTATTTGATCACTCTTTTCATAACATCAGACCTTGTATTTAAAACATTGTAAGTTTTCACAATCACTCTTTTCAGTCAATCAGCTTGAACAATACTTTCCATCATAATTGCATTAGTCAGCCATTTTTCTGATGCTGTCAGTATTTGGAACTACAGTACTGTATTCTAATGCTGCCAGCAGCCTTTTTATTCTTTTCTGTACACTAATGTAATTTAATGTGAAACCTCATGAATAGTATTTGATTGAAGGGAAGGAAAAATAATTAAAAAGTACTGTATGTACTGTACAGTACAAATTATAGCTATTGCTTGGATCACTGCTGCATTAACCTAATATCTTTCAGCAATTTTCTTCATGTTTCCTTTCTTTTTCTTTCTGTTTCTTCCTAATTCTTTGTCAGAAGCATCTTTTCACAGTGCATTGTGGACGTATGGAACAGTTTACTTGAATAAGTGGTCATGTATCCAAAAGTGATGACACAAGAAGAGACTAAAGAAGCACTGGCTAGGTCAAGATATCATTTTTTATCACTGTCTTGAATGTGTGTTGTTGACTCACTAGCCTACCCACTATGGCCTTGTGTTGTGTCAGAAGCATAAGAGCTGGATGGACAGGCATGAAAGAAAGGCTTCATGGTGGAATTTGAGTGAAAATTGCAGCAACAGAGAAAATGAAAGCATATCAGATCATGATGTAACAACATGATATTGATAAAGAAATGAGGTGAAAGTAAAACGAGAGTAATAGAATAGAGAAACAAAATTGTAATAACTATCAGTGAAAAACTTTGAAAGGCCTTATACAGTAGTGTGACAGGGTTTAGAGAATCACCAACCCAAACAAGTTTGGAAAATGGTCGTAAAACGTTGATGATGATTGCAGACAAGGCATATATATCCTGCTGTGCTTAATACTGTAGTGTTTTGTTGGAGATAAAAAAAAAATGTGCACTATCCTAATATATTTATTTTTGTGACCCTGCAGGCGAGTAAGGAAATGCTCTCTATGAAGAAGAAGGAGGGAGATGTGCCAAGTTTCAATTTCCTCTTTGAGCTACTAAGAGGGGACCATTAGTTAAGGTAAATTTCACTTTCCTATAGATAAGAACTTTCCTTGTACATTACTTTAAGAAAAACTTGTGTTTTTTTTTAGCTGTTCTTAAATATATACTGTAGTTGCATACACTATTTAGGTGTTTGAAGTACCATTTACAGTGTACTGAAAGATTTTGAAATTAATTTTTAGAGTACAATATCATTAATTTTAAGGTGATAATTTACTGTATTTTGTCTATACCATCGACACTTAATTCCCCTTAGGAACCTTCATTCAAAACAAAAACTTTAGATCATTCAAGGTAATAAATTTGATACACCTATGGTTTATCAGCCACATGTATATGGGTTGTTTTTGATATATGCAATTTTGTTACAGTGACCTACAGTATAATGATTGCAGATTGAAAATACTGTACAAGGGTATAAATAAATGAGCATTTAAGTCTTATTTCTTGGCCACTTGTTTCCCACTCATGACTATACTGTACCTACATCACACTACTTTGAATTGTAAGATGAAGATGTCACAATATAAAAAAATTTACAGTTAAACTTTTAAGAAGTGATTGTGTATTTCTTGATTATTTTGGCATAAAAGTAAAGTACGTCTTTATATTATACTGTTCGTATTTTACTTTTTTCACCTGTGAGTACAATTTTGTATGTCTTTCTTTTGCATCTTAGTGTCCCTGTGTTTATTTACTGTCAGGGTGGATATGCTGTGCTATATAGTACTGTACAGTATATGAATAAGTGCGATAAACCAAAGCAACTGATCAGGATATGCCGTTAGAGAGCTCATTGGCATTTATCCATCATTTGAAGAGATTTTCTTTAAGCTTTTCTTACTAACCTCTATGTCTTAAAGAGAACTCCTTGATCTTATGCTGTACACTACATGCCTTTCTTGGCATTTTTTGTAACATGAAGGGTTTGATTCTATGACTAGTGAACAATAGATTGTGTAGCACTAGAATTACCTATGGTTAGTCATCTTTAATTTAAGGTACTGCCTATACAGTATTTCCTATTTGACCATCTTCAAATAGAATCTCACAGGCCTCTTGTCAAATGATTCATATACCATAATAGAAAACTGTGGGATATAAAATCCCAATTTATAAAGCAAAGTGACAAATTACTGAGAGTCCCTCCTCCCCATTTGTGAGGAAGGAAGTTTAAGGCTCAAGTTAATGACTGAAGGGTGTGACTCCAGCAAAATGCTTTAAGGAATCGTCCTGTTATACCTGCTGACTCGGAGGCTTTTTTAAGTACAGTATCACCAGATTGAGGTTGTACAGCTTGTTTCATAAACCCTGTTTCCCCTGGGGGGGAGTACCTGATCCAATAGAACATTTGCACTGCCTCAGAATCCACATAGCCCCCTAGACGAGGTAGACTCTGCTAAAAAAAATTTTGTTTGGTTATGTTGCAAATCACTTGGCTGTTCCCCTTGGCCATTAAATGTGTTTTCAAACATCAAAGTTTTTTTAGGGTGGTTTTTGTGGTTTTCAGTTTAGTTTGATCAAATGTTTTATGAAAGAACCAAGTATTGTACTGGATAAAGTATATTAATTGATAGATTTGCAATTTTTAAGTTACCATAAAAATTCCTTTTTCTCAACAGGTTGGAGTGCAACCTCGTCTTGAGTGTCAGTTGCTGCATCTCCCTCAGGTATGCGTCATCTCTTCGGGTTCATAATATGTCAAGACGTGGAATGTTATCAAGACGAACTACCATGGATTAAGGACCAATTTGCTGCAACAGCAAAACAGGACGTGCAGTTTATGACTCCGAAGTGATGATATCCCCATGGCTGTGACAAGTGGACGTCACTTACTCATCCCACCTTGTGTACTCATTCATCATCATGCAAACAAGACTCAACAGGAATAGCGAATCATCAATGAAGCTGTAAATTTAGAAGTGACAACTCAAGGACAATTTTCTTTTATATAAGTAGATATCATAACAACTTCATATATAATTCCTAGATACCAAATGTAATAGCATTGTAAAGTGAGACCACTGGGTAGATTAGAAAAAAATTATAAGTGTGACATGAGTTACCTTTTGCTGAGTGAATGCGTCCACCGCCAGTATACCTGATGGGAGATCACCAGAGGCTGTGGCATGGACTCGAAGCTACACGCTGTCTTCCAGTGGATATACTCTCAGAAGCAGTATTTTTTTAGAATATCTTCTCCCATGCCATATGTCCAGCATCACCTGTTGCTGCCGTTACCACTGGTGTCTCCTCTCATTACCTGAATGTCCAAAGAATGTGATTGAATCTGGTTTGATTGATTGTGTGCACCTTTGCATATTTTTTTTGATATAGCAACCTGTGCACTTTTATGTTACTTATATTTTATGGCTTGTCTCTGCTCTCTCAACAGATAGAGCTAGAAGACTTTTAACCATAATTTAACATTTAATTCCATATTTGCCATTTATTTTTACTATTTTACAGTAAATTATGAATGAATTTTTAGTGTGTTTGTAAGTGCTTCATGGAGGCTATGGTGAGAGGGAGCAGCAGTGTCTTAACTTGTGGCAACATTGGTGAGGCAGCAGCACTAGTACAGGTGCCAGAAGCCTCCACAGACTAAAACTCTCTAATGCCAATTGATGTGTGACATAAATTTCTCAAGAAAGTAATTCATAACTGGAAATGGGTCATTTATTGTATATTTTAACCAATGCTTTAATGGCGTATGTCTGCCCGTTGACTGACAGTATTAGACACCTACTAGTCATTCGACAGTCACATTAAACCACTAAAGTTGTAACTTTCATAAAGATTATGCACAAATTCAGACCTAAGTCAGTTTTATGAAAGAACCCCAGTGATATCCCAGTCAGTGGTATTAGAGAGCTCTGGTCTTTGTGTGGCTGTGTGAATCTGTGACAATTCCACTGTGCTGGGGAATTGTGCAACATGATCACAATGGGAGGGTGTTGAGGGTCTCCAGAGTGGCTGTAGGGTTCTGTGGCTGCCTATTACTCATTTCACAACTTACCTCTACTTTCTCATCAGCCAGTATTTTTCATTACTGTACCTTTGGTAACTTGCTATTCTGAAAGTCAGATTAAAATACTCTGACATGTTGGAGTTCCAAATCATAAAAAAAAAAATATATATATATATATATATATATATATATATATATATATATATATATATATATATATATATATATATATATATATATATATATATATATATATATATATATATATATATATATATATATATATATATATATATATATATATATATATATATATATATATATATATATATATATATATTTTATATCAACCCTGCAGCACTGGCCCAAGCATGACACCATCACCCCCACCAACCTTATACACAGTACCTGTCAGCCAGCAACTAACCAAGTGCGGCAATGTGGCACCATAGAGTTATTTTCAGTTAAATCTGTGTTTTTCTTTTATCTCTTCTTATTTATACACATTTTTATATTTTACATCTCATCCTAATTTATCATTAACTTATTTCTTTAACTGAAAAATATTGTATCTATACATCAATGTTGTTAATATGAAGAAATAGATCCTATTATATTGAAAATAGTTCTGTCTTCATTTCTGTATAACTCTATGATTCCATAGTGTCAAACATGATGAGCTACAAAAACTTTAATATCTTCTGTGATGATAATTTTGCACAAGCTCCATGGTACTAAACTGTCCATTGTACTCATCCAGTAATACTGGATTGAACAGAAGTGAGAGGGAGTGATGTGCAAGCTTTTATACTTGACCTTTTCTGTAGTATGTACAATAGACTGTAACCAATGTCTGTGATGTTATGTAAGTACAGTATAGCAGCCTCAAGAAGTCACAGCCTGACACCCTTTTTTGTGCACCATTTTGTTTAAGAACTATCAGAAAAGGTTGTGTGAGGATGGGGCCACTTAGAAAAAGCCTATGATTTGCATAATATATCAACATTGATGTCTATGGTAAATTTCTTCTCAAACCAATAATCTGTTTTCCAATGCCTTTCCACTTTCTTTAGTAGCTCACAATGTGTCGTTGTTTTGCCTCTCTTCCATCTTGCGCTGTGCACAAGATTATTTGGGAAGAGACGAAGAGATGGTACTATCGAATTTAGTGTTCTATGTTTTCTACAGAAGAGATTTTTAATTTATTTGCATTACATTTCCTGATATATTTTTTTCTCAGTTTCACACCACTTTCATGAAGGCTGTTATTGGTAACATTCCATTGATGTCTAAGCTAATTTGCCCTTTTGGTAAACAAGATGTACTCTTGTGATATTAATTTAATGATGAGCAATTCTGAGGCCGCTGGGTTATTCCAAAGAGCCGAGGTGGCCTCATGAGAGTGGTGCATGGGTCGGCCGCGAGATGGCGTGCGGGGGCCCTTCCAACTCGCCTGCACCATCTGTCCTTATTATCAGAATTTGTTTTTATTATCTCTTTGTCAGAGGTTAAATAAAGAATATAATTATTTAAATTTTATGTATTTGACGATTTGAAAGAGATTTATGGTTTGTGGGCGAGAGGGTGAGTGGTCTCAGGGATCCCCCGTGCAGAACGCAGCAGAGACCGTCCAGGGTGCTGACATTGACAGAGGCTAGTGGGCGTGGCTTTGTGCCATCAGGGGCGCATGGGCGGAAATCACCTCTCTTTTTTTCTGATGCACTGAAACCTTGTTCATCCAAATATCATTCATGAAATATTTTCCTCATTTACGTGTAATAGGCACATCATGATTTAATTTCTCTTCTATATTTGTTGTGTAAAGTATCAAAGAAGATTGTATGTTTTTAATGAAATGTAGCTGTTGGGATAGACAAGTGTTCTTTGCACAACACCACCGCAACACGCCCATGCGCCCCAGACGCCCTTGCGCGCCCATATCAGTCCACCCCGGCAAGCCAAATCACTAGTCCTTACACACTTTGTTTTTTTCGGAGCATGACTCTCGAATACCACCAGGTTTACCAGATTAGATTGACACCTTCCAACCAAGTCATTGAATCCTTACCTGGTATTACTGAAAATATTGGAATCTCTCGCCTCATTGAATCTCGAAAGGTGATTTCAAAAGTTATTTCTCATGAAAGAATTACAACTTAATAAAAAACCTACAAATCAAAATGAACTGTAATGTGTGCTATGGAGGATTTTTCATAAAGCTAGGTCGTTTGTATTTTTGGTATCCTGTAAATAGTTGTTGTCTACTGGAGCAAGTACTTATTATTTTAAGGAAACTTTTAATAAATATACTTAAATATAATTTGTATTATTACATCACAAGATCAGTGAAAACCTCTTTAATTCATTTCTCTCGTATAAAATGACACCAAGACTATATAATATTGGTGTAATTTTACAGGCAAGTTTGGGTGCCTGAAACATCCAAATTTGCCTGTACTTTTAGCCATGTGGAAATCACTATTGATCATTTTTTCATTTTTATATTTCTTTATGGTTTTCTATTATTATTATTATTATTATTATTATTATTATTATTATTATTATTATTATTATTACACACTTATTATTTTTATTATTAATATTGTTATTATTACATTTCTGCTCCCAAGGCCTTGATGTGGGTCAGTGCACTAGCGCCAGCTAGGGGGGCAAGTCCTTGGGCGGCACTTTTGGGTCTGCTCATCACCCATATCTGCAGCTACTGGAGACGTTAATCCATCCCTTTGTATCGGCGGCAAGTTAATCCTTGTCGTGTCTGACCTAACACCTGACCCACATCATCACGGCCACGTCATGAGCTACGTACACCCTTGCTATGCGCCCCCCCCCCCACACACACAACCTGTAACCTGTTGAGGATTAAGGAAACAACTTCAAACAAGTACGCCAGTGAGCTCATGTGGTGTGGGTCAGGTGTTAGGTCAGACACGACGAGGATTAACTTGCCGCCGATACAAAGGGAAGAATTAACGTCTCCAGTAGCTGCAAAACCATGCAGTCTCGGGTCATATCAGTTCATGTACAGCCGACCAATCCACCAGTTACAAGCAATTCACTTCAGTTCTCCACAAGTCTCCATCGTGACAAGACGAGGGGAGGCTAGACGACTTTTAAGTTCTCTTGTGTTTTCGATCCAGTTATTTACTTCGTTGGAAGACATAATACTATAAGGTAAGAAATATTAAAGTATTGGTTAAAAAATATTGATGTGACTTTTGCTGCGGTACTGAGATTAAATATCAAGATTTTGTTTCACAGCATTGCGATTTTATACTAAGACACTATCCTCACTGGGGTACAGACAAAAGCCCCCCCGACAAAAGCCACCCAGACAAAAGCCCCCCAGACGAAAGCCACCCAGACAAAAGCCCCCTACTTTGATCGGGGTGGCTTTTGTCTGACAACAGTAAGGTAAACTATTTAATATATATATATATATATATATATATATATATATATATATATATATATATATATATATATATATATATATATATATATATATATATATATATATATATATATATATATATATATATAAAGAGTGAGTCACTGTGCAATATGTATTTTTGTAGGGTCACGGGGGCGGCAACTAATTAGCCCTGGCGGCACACACACCTAGCTACGCCACTGGGTCAGTGACCTGTGCCCGGGTCAGCTAATCCCTGTAAAAAAAGAAAAAAAAAAATTTGGAATCGGCATCTGCATCAGAAAAAAATCTATTTATTGAGTGCTCCTCTTAGCACCCAATTAAGAATATTGAACTTATAATTGTCTTTTAAAGTTAAACTAGAATTTATATATTTGTCTCCAATTTTATTTAACCTGTCAGACGACGACCAACTCTTATCTCACTTGTTTGTTCTCACCAATGGCGGCTGGGTAGTTCAACAGTGTGAGTGTTACAAACTTTTTACAGGCTGTAGTCTTCCGTGAACCTGATGTGTGTAAACCGTGAAGGAAAATCCAGCTAATGAATCATACGTCACGAAAATCG